GTCTCACACTCCCACCATCCTCAGATTCAGCCTCTCAGGCCAGCCCCGCGGCAGCCTTCCACTCACTCTCCAGAAGGCTATTTAGAGCAGCTTCACATGCAAAGCTGTAGCCATCTCTCTGGGCCTTGGCTGTCACCCGGGAAAAACAGCAGCTGAGGAGGTGAGGTGAGGAAACTGACTTAACATTTCCCTCTTTCATCACAGTGAACACTATCCACAGTGTTCACAAGGGGCATGTGAGTTATTCTCCTACTTTACAGAGACAGAAACAGAGGTTTCTGAGGGGGTCAGCTTCCCAAAGCTAGCCAAGAACCCAGGTGTTCCCCAAAAGAAGGAAGAAGTGGCTACCAACAGGGACTTGGAGGGGTGGCCTATAGAGGCTCAGCAACGCCCCTCAAGGCCCTGGGGCCCCCCAGCTTCTCCACCTGTGAAGTGGTGGGAATGCTACCTATTCTGTAGTGAAGGCGGAACCACTGCATGAGTCACTGGTGGGCACAGGCACGTGGCCTTTCTGCAGGCCCTGACCCAGGAAGCTCTGGGCCCTGAGGGCCCTCTGTGGTCAAAGTGCAGCCCCATTACCAAACCAGAGACCCCCCCCGGTGAGGGACTGGTCAGGCACAAGCTATAGTGAAGAGGTGTGGGCATGGTCAGCACAGAGAGGCACAAAGTCACCTTCTGGCACTGTCCTTCCTGGAGAAGGTCCGCTCCCCTGGAAGCACCAACTCTCCCAGACTCTGCAGAGGCAGACTCTGGCTGGGATTGCTGGGGTTATGAGCCCAAGAATGACCTTTCTTTCAGAACCTGAAGTGAAGAACCAGAGTAAGTTGTGTCACCGTGTTGGGGATCGAGACCAGGACTTTGCCTCCTATGCACAAAACAACACTTGATTGGAACTTAGAGTAAACATCCTGGTTGAGAATGCAGCACACCCAAATCCCTTCCCCCACTCTCCTTCCTTTCCTGCTCAGCAAGCTTTGGCGCCAAAGAGACAAAGAGATGACAATGGATCCCTCCCCTCAAACCCATTGGCCTTTAAGACATTAGACCACCAGACCACCCCCTGCCCGTACCTTCTGTGCCGCCCTTAAGTATATATACATGGCTGTTGTAAAAATAAACGCTGGCTCTCTCTCACTCGCACGTGTCTCCATCTTTGCCTTCTTTCTCGCGCTGTCCCTGGGGCTCTACCCCCTTGCCATGCGGGTCAAGGCCCGCCACAAGGTCAAGGCTCTGCCTTCTCCTCTCGTCAACCATGGGACCCCAATCCTCGGCCTTGCTAGTCAAGGCCCCCCGCATCACCTTTTACTCAGGACCAGCCCCCTGGCTCCTGGAGACATCCATTATGTCACTGAGTTCATGTTTTTCCCTCTCAAAAAAACAAGCAGCCACTGTATCAAGTCCAATCCTCCCTGTGCATTTTGTAGCAAACTACCTAGGGGCAGGTAGGCCCCTGTCTCACAAATCATGTATTTCAGCGAGGAACACACCGATGCCACACAACAATAAACAAAGAACTCCAAACAGTGCTCAGTGTCGAGAAAATAGCAGCGGTGCCCTGGCAGACAAAGAAGGGTGGGCATGCTCTTCAAGCAGAAATCAGGAAGACTGCTTGGAGGAAGTGATGAGTTTGACATGAGAATGATGCCCACAGCCGGAAGCCAGGGAAAGAGCACTCTAGGAAAGGGAAGAGCAAGTGCAAAGGTCAGAGCGGAGAATGAAGGAAATAGTGACTGAGATGAAGTCAGGCAGCAGTGGACAGAGATCAGATCATGTGAGGCATCTGGAATCTACCCAGAAGAAAACGGGAAACACTAGAAAATGACGCGGTCCAGTTTGTCCTTCTAGTGCACACTCTGGCTACTACGTGGAGATAGAGGGCCAAGAGGCTGCTGCAGGGGTCTGGGCAGGAGAAGATGGTGTCTCAGGCCACATACTGGCAGCGGGATGGCAAGAGGTGGACAGGATGACCTGGGCCAGAGCCCACAGCCCGTGCATGTGAAAATGGAAAGGGATGGCCTCTTGGGTCTGTGGATTGGGCAAGTGGGTAGAGGGTGCTGCCAGTTACTGAGAGCCCAGGGGAAGGAAAACCTGCATGTGTGCATGGGATAGGAGCCGTAAGCCCTGCTGGAAGGCCAGCTTCCGAGTCGCCGCACCATCTCAGGTCACTGGGCACTGGAGACGCTCCTGCTCTCCCACCAGCCCCTTATCCCTACAGTGCCCTCTGCTCAGACTGCCCCCATTCTCCATGCAAGGAGCCACCAGGTCCCCCAAACCACATTCAGATTCTGGGCTATCCTGTCTGCTGACCCCTGTGAACAAATGAGCTGGCCCCTAATTTACTGAGTCATACTTGGTGACTCAAGCACGACCTGACTCCGTATCCACCATGTCTCTAAGCCCGGAGAGAGAAGGCCTCTGTCCCCAGTGTCCTCACAGGCTCTCCAGGGGCCAAACAGCCCCTGCAGCTGGCCTTCAAGGTACTGGCCTCTGCCCTGGGCACCCCAGAGTCCCTCTCTCAGACGGACATGGATGGCGCTAAGTCTCTGCACCCTTCAGATCGCTGGAGGTCCAAGGAAAATCCTTCCAGGAGCTGAGCTGAGCCTTCCATCTGCCACAGATGTCTGAGCCCAAAAAGGGAAGCTAGAAGCAGGCCCGGGCCTGAGTTGTGAGTCTGCCCAGGAGTGGGTCTGGGCTCCTCCTAGAGAGGTGAGGCCTTTCTGAAGCCAGGGGTCACCACCCACCAGGGCGGCAGCCAGTGCTGCCACTGCATGCACTGGCCCTTCCCTTCCTGCAGTGCTCTTTCCCGGCTCCTGTTGATAGCACTCGGATGTCAGGTCCATTGTCACTTCCTCCGAGCAGGCTTCCTGCTTTCTGGCCTAAAGAACATGTCCGTTCTTCACTGTCTACGGTGCACTCAGCACCGAGCACTGTTCAGAGTGTGTTCTTTCTTTCTTTGTTTTTAACTGCTTGTTGGATATGATCTGTCTGTACTCCCACTGAAAACATGATTCAGTAGTATGCCACAAGGGAGTAACTTCTCCGGCCCTTCACGGGCCTGCTGATGTCCTCAAGCTACTGTAAGCTACAGACATGAGTGTGAGGAGAAGGTGCTTTCCAGCCCAGGTCTCAGAGGGCGAGGTAAATGAATGGCAGGCTGCTTGTGGCAGGGGTGGGGGCTGGAGGGGCCATTCAACTCCTCAACATCTCTAAGTCCGTGACTTTTGACCTGTCAGCATGGAGGAACCACTCCACGCTCTGATCTCCTTCCTGTATGGCAGGAACTGGGTGACAGGTGGGTGGAGAGGGAGATGGGGAAACGGGTAGAGAGATCTATGCGTACCACCTGCTCGTGAGTTCTAACTGATTAATGACACTCAAGGAAACTCCAAGTCACAAAGCAGGCTCCCCTCAACCTTCGCATTAGCCAACTCCTTCTTCCAGCTTCTTAAAAGCTCGAGTGAGCCACAAATGTGAAGGCTGCTGGGGCCAAAGACAAAGTCAAGGGCTGGTAAGGGTCCAGGAACTCCTCGAGCTCATCCCTTCCTCCTCTCCCACTTATGTTAGAAACTTTTCATGTCCGCTTCACATCCAGTCGGGAATCTCTTAGGAAAATTCCTAAACCTACAAGTAGCCTCATAAGTATTAACCACTGCGTTATATATAATGGTCCATGACTGGAATTAACTTGAGCCTGGGGAACTACACCACATACACTCCATCAAACATTATGTAGCCATTAAAAACAAAGGTTTACTAAGTGTGAAAATATGAAAAATGTGTTAATAATTTACATGGTAAGTAAGGGTGAAAGATAAAACTGTTTAGTCAGCATGGCTTAAACCAGAGTTGTCCAATAGAAATATAAGGGAAGTCACCGCTAAGTGTTAATTTGAGAGTAGCCACATTCTAGAAAGCACGTATTTTCTAATAGCAGAATATTTAGCCCAATGGATTCATAATCATTGAAACACATACTAGACACCAATGTTGTTAATATTTTACTTTCTCTGCACCAAGTCTTCAGAATTCAGCACACCCTCAGGTTGATATCTTTGAAATGACGGCAAATCTCAATTGAGAGTTGCATGTTATAAACATGTAATAGCAACTAATAACTGGCTGGTAACTCTATTACTGCACAGCACAGGTCTAATGCATTAGAAAATTTTAAAAAGACTTAGGTATAGGGAGAAACGGACTAAAATGATGAAAATCTTAGTGATCACAGACTTTCTGAATATGTTACTTCCCCCCTTCTCTGTTTCCCAAAGTGTTTGTATATAATGAATTCATATTACTTTTAAAACAATAGCAACAGTCACTCTTACTGATTTTGACATGGAATAAGGGACTTAAAAGTTTCACTGGGCACACTGTACCCGCCAAGCATTGACTCACTTCTGCTGCACTAGAGCTGTCCGGCACCCCAACACCTGGCAGAAGGCACCTCTCCACACATACTGTTTGGTAAGTTGGTAGGAATTTGGATGGACAGGAAGACAGGACAGAGGTGGGATAATGAGTGTGTTGTAGCAGTTACAAGTGAAAACCAAACTCGGACCCTTGTTTACAAATCCCAAAGCTATTACTGGCTGTATGATCTTAAACAAGTTATTGAACCATTCTGAGCTTTAATTTCCTCCAAAACAAAATGGCAATAATGAGAGCAGATCCTCCTCAGGTTTTTCAAGACCTGAAATTAGCTATACAAGTGTTCAACACAGCGTCTGTAGCACAGCCCATGACTCCAGGATGTTGGCTGTATCAACATAGCCACCCAGTGAAAGACCAGCACTGTCAGGCCATCTGGCTTCTAAAGCAATGGCCCCCAGGGCACTAGGACCCATACCTCCGAGGCAGGTGAGCCCCCCCTACCCTCCCCCCTCCTCCTGAGAATAGAGACCATTGTTCTTTGGGCCCAGCTATAGCGGAGCTAGTGCTCAGGCTGGTGGGTGAAGCTCTGTGCCTGCCCCCGATACCAGTCTCCATGGCCCACCTACCTGCACAACCTCCGGCCTCACGTTGAAGGTATACAGCCAGTCACTGAAGCGGGGGTAGCTGTTGAGCTCTGGGGACCTGTCCTCAGGAGCCACACTCAGCTTGCACTGCCGCTGCTTGCAGATGTACCGGACCAGCTTGGCCTGCAGGGAGCCCAGAGAAGAAAAGGCAGTGTTCATCCAGGACCTGTGCAAAAGGTGGGGGACCCCAGGCGGACACCAGCTAAGTTGTCAAACAGGCCGGGAAGGGGGGGGGCGGGGCGGTGGGAAGAGGAAGAGATGAGAAGGGTTTGGGAGAGATAACAGGGAAGCCACTGCCTACTTGAGTCTGGCCGGCACTTCTCACCCTTGGGCCATAATCCCCAGAGAGTAATGGGCAAGGATGGCCAGACAGAGAATGCTAGGAACATAAAAGGCTCAGCGGGCCAGGACGTCAGTAACTGGTGACGTGGATGATGTGGGTAACCTTCCATCTGTTATAGACTCAGACTGCCTAGGTTGTGATCCGGTGGGGGGGGGGGGGGGGTCACACCCCAGCTCTGTGGCCCCGGACAAGTCATTAAGTACCCCTTGCCCTTGCTCCCTGAAAGTCTCAGTTTCCTCTTCCAGAAAATAGGGATAATTATAGATCCTCTCTCTCAGGGAAAATGAAGAAATGAAGCGCCCGGCACATGCCCAGTGCATCAGAAGACAGAAACACCCTTTGGGCTGGGGCATTATTGGTAAGGGTTCCTTGCCTTGGGTCTGCCAATAGGTTTTCAGGGCCCACACCCTGAAATGTATGAGAATTTCAGATATGTGAGCCTGCATTTTCCAGGGAAGAGAGTCCAGTTTTCCAAAGATTCTCAAAGACTCAAGCCTCAAATAAAGTAAGTTTAAACAAGGACAGCCTGGCTCACATCAACCTGGCGTTCTCTTTGACAAACACTAGACTCGGATGGTGCCCAGCACTCCACTGAGGAATGCAGAGGGGGTCAAGATGTGCAGGGAGCCCACAGCCTGGGACTGATTAAAAAAAAAGGGGGGGGGGGGAGCAGACTCAAATAGACAGCAGTGCATACACAGCCAAAAGAGAATCTGGAAGCCTGGCTTGGCTAAGGTCAAGTGACCCTGGGACCCAGTGAAAGCCTCTGAGATGTTGAAGAGACTCCAGAGGCCTCGTGTTGGTGACTTTCAAGTTTCCCCAAAAGGCAAGCACCACCTTCAAAGAGCTGTGCAGGAGCCCTGCCGTCTCTGTGGTCCTGCCAACCTCAAGGGCTTGTCGTATTCAATCCATTCCCTTTCTTTCATCTGTAAAGCTCTCAGTATATTTTCTCTAGAGGGTTAAGAACTCTGTTCGTAGTCACAATACTAAAAAATAATAATAGCAGTAATAATTTCAAATCTCAAATCTCTAAAAGGCTCTCAAGTTTCATTAAGAACAGGAACTCTTGGCCCTCCCTGGTGGCGCAATGGGTTAGGACGCAGCACTGCAAGCTGGCTGCAGCAGCCTCAGTGTGAGTTCGATCCCCGGCCCCGGAGGTGACCCACATGGCACAGCAGACTTCTCCTGTCCCGCCTTCTGCTCCCCTCAGCACTGCGCTTCGTTGATCTACCTGTTCTGCTCCCCACTCTGTCTCTGGTGAATCCTCTCACCGCCCCTGCACCTCTGGCCTGTACCACAGTTCTGTGAGCATAAATAAATAAATCTTTTTTTTTTTTTTTTTAAAAAGAATACGAGCTCTTAACCGCTGTTGGTCAAAGCCTGCCTTAGGCAGTCTGGGAGGTATGATCCCTTTCTGAGAATAATACTTTTGAGTAGAAAGAACAAAAAATTTAGGATTACAAAGGAAATCTATTTAAATATATGTATTAAAATATTCCTTATTTTTGTGACAGCACTAACAGCTTCTCTATGAAAGCCTGCAGTAACAGCTAGCAGTGGGTCAAGTAACTACAGCCACTTTGAAGTTTTGACAAGTGTAAACAGTGTTTTCAGACATCTCCACTGTAACGTGATATGAAAACAGCTGTGATTCCTACCGTGACTAAGTCACATGTACTCACCAAGATGACCATGCCTTGTTCCCTACATCCCAATCGAAAAACACTAGTTAAGATTAATGCAAATAAAAGCATGATTTTTTTTTTTTCTCCTCTAAATTCATGGGCCCCTGAGTCCTATCCACAAATGCCGGGTAAAGAACCCTGTGGTAAGACGGATGTGAGGCCTGAAACAAAAGACCCATAACAATAACGCCACGGCTTCTTTATCAACCTTCCTGAAATTTCCCCCAGAAACCCTTTTGGTCATAAGTTCACAACCTGCTTGCCTCATGAGCGTGGCCTTTCTCACGTGGCCCAGAGCTCTGTTAAGTTCCGCTATCAGCTGGGAGCTCAGCAGCAAGTGAGGACAATCGCTAGAGAAAGCAACACTGAGTATAATCAAAATACCTCTCTATTGTACATCGTTCCTGTTTGGTGAACCCCAGACAGAGGCAAACCCCAGTCATCCCTGCACCACAGCCATTCAGGCGCATGGGCAGACACGGCTAGTCGAGCTCTCCCCGTGGAGTGTTAGATTACTGTCTGAGTCCCAACGCCTAACTACTCAGCAGGCATTGCTAATCAAGCACCCTCTGCTGAGCTGGCAACTCCACATCATCACCCAAGTGCCTCTGTGGCCTATTATGAAACCCAAGCTCCTGGGAACATCTTCATATAGGAAGATCATAAGCATCAAGACAGGATACTGATGTTACCCCAAGGACCAAGAAGCGGCACTCAGCCCTCCCGGTGTAACCAGAGGCGAATTCCAAAGTCAGGACCCCAGCCTTTCCTAGGCGCCCTCTGTCCGTCCCGCCCCAGGCCTCTGCTCAGATTAGCCAGAAGGCCCTCCTTCCTCCAGCCAGCGTCCCTGGCATGGGAAAGACTCCCCAGGCCTAATCGGAAGGTCCCATCTCCCCATGTCCCCTTCCGAGTGCTGTCTGTGCCTCTGTGGGAGCCTCTATCACAGTGGGGCTCAGCTTCAGCTTCTGACCAAGTCTCCCCCGAAAAAGGTAAGTTCCCAGGGCAGCGGACATAGCACAGACTTAGATGCTGAACAGAATCTAGGTTCTGTGTGACCTCGGGGAAGTATGATGAATTTTTCTGAGACTTGGTTCTCTGATCTGTCACAGGAATGGCAGGATTGAAAGGCAGCTTGCAAGCCCCTGAAGGCTAGGGTGGGCCCTTATTACTACACACAGGACAGGGCTGGGAGCACCTCATGCGTGACTGTCCCACACTCCTGCTACGCCATGTGGTACATGACAAGTGTTCAAAAAGTTTGAGGGAGGGAGGGAGGGAGGGCTCGCCACTGCAGGGCCGTATGGAGGTCATCCCCACCCCCACCCCCCCCCGGCCTTGGCGGTGAACCAGGGTCTGCGCTTTTCACTAGGAAACCCTCTAAGACACCTAGCCCTTTTTAGCCCTGCCCTCTGCAGGGGAGCCCCAACGTGGCTTGCACAGCCACTCTTCCGGAGCCTCGCCCAGGCCCCTTATCCTCCTCCCTCCCTGGCCTCGCATACACAGTTGATCTTACTTGTCTGTTTCTTTCGTTAAGCTGGGAGCTACGTGAGGCCAGGTGCCTGGTCTGTGTTCCTGGTCCCAGAAACCAGCTCAGCACCTGACACCTGGCTTGCTACTGTAAAACCTTTGTTGAATGCATGCACAAATGGCCACAATACATTTCGTGGCCCCGACAGGCTCACACGTTTACAGAACGACAGTGGAAAACAAATGCCAGCCGATCGGAGGGATGAGTCAGGAGCCAGAGAGTCTCACACACCAGGGCAAGTCCCCCACAAGGGAGGGGTGGTTTCCTCTTTTAAAAGGCGGTTAGAGATCCCCCAACAGGTAGCGCAAAGCAGTCCGTGGGCAGGACTGTGCAGAACTGGAAGGGCCGACTCCCTGAGCCCGTGAACAGCCCACACGCGCGGCTGGGGCAGGAACGGGGAAGACACGCCACGGCTGGCTCCCTCTGCAGCACTTTGCCTTCTGGAGCTGCTAAAGGTCTCACTGACAACGAATGGAGGTGCCTGGTATGCAGCAGCGCCCATCCTAGCAAAAATCAGGCTGTCTCCCTTTCTGGGAAGCTGGTCACTGTGACAGCAGCACCCCGGGGCTACTTTCCCAGACAAACCACAGTGGGGCCTGCCAGCCCACGCGCAGGAGCCAACGGGAGGTCTCTCATGGGTTGTAACATTTTTCTCTTGCCCACAAAACCGCAAGACATACATTTTCCGGAATAAAAAAAGCACCTGGGGTTTCAGTGAGGGGACCAGCAGCAAGCAGAAGAGTCATCAGCACTTTGACCACAGGGAAGACCCCACGCTGGAAGGAAAGCCTCACCCCACCCCGTCCCAGGTTTCTGTCGTCCCTTGAGTGTGTATGCCAACCCTGCCTCGGCACCCCACCTGGTTTACAGAGAGACAGGAGAGCGTTAATCAGCCCAAGACAGTTGGTGGGTCCCACGAGGTCCAGGGCACCCGCCAGTCACTAAGTGTCCTCACCTGAAAGACCTGGGCCCTGTCCCAACTCCGACATCTGCAGCAGGATCTCAGGGGAATCCCCCTTCTCAGCTGCAATCTCACCACCTATAAAAACGGCATTATCTCATGGAAACTGGGGGCAAGTGAGTCACTGACACACAACAGTGTCTGGAATGAGAACAGGAACTACATGTCCGTGCTGGTTACTCTCGCCACATCCAGGAGGCAGTGTAGCTCAGGAGGACAATCTGAGTCCCTCACCATGACACTCCTTCAGCAGGCACACACAGGTTTGACTTTGGCCTCAGTTTCCCCACCTGTAAAATTGAACTGATTTGCCTCAAAAGGCTATTGTAAAGATTTGCATGCGAGAAAACATGGTCATAAAATACTTGGCAAGATGCCAGACTAGGAAAACAGGGATTTGGTGGCAACCGTGGTGGGTATTGTTCTCATCAAGCCATGTCTTCAGATTCTCTGAAGATCTGTGGGCAACAAGGAGAGGTGGGTGGGGTGGACTCCATTTTGGAGATGGGGCTTCTGAAGAAGACCCTGGAAACTGGTGTTGGCCTTTAGGATGATACTGAGGGGATTCACAGGTCAGGGACATTTCTCCTGAAGGCATGAAGGCCA